TCAGAGCCAGTGTCTGGGAAGGCTTTTCATCTTTCTGGAGTCAGCAGCTTTATAAATCAACTTTATCATTTAGCATATTAAATTAGCATAATTCCCTAGTTCCTAAAACACAGCCTTCCCTTGTTTCAGATAATCATGTTCATTAACACCAGGAGTTGATTGCAGTTTCTGGAATGAGAAGTGAGAAGGAACAGATCATAAGGAAATGAGAAATGACTGCCTGAAGGGGAACAATAGGGAAAGATTAATTTAGGAAAGGTTCAAAAAAGGAAGCCACCATGTGCACATCATGTGCACATCATGTGCGACTCTGCAAGGTGGAGGTGATGCTCGGGCCCATCACCTCTTGTGAGCTGGTACCAGGGTGGGGATGATGTCAGCAGCCCCTTCCTGAGGGGATTTTAGAAGAGAAAATGGGAAGGATTTGCTGCTGACGTTATAGAGAGAAATCAGCTAACTGCCTAGGAGTATCCCTCTGGGAGAAAAAGAGGCAGATGCTGTTGGCAAAGATAAGCAAGGAATTGGAATAAGCAAGACATGTTCATAGAAAGGTGTTTAAGATCCTGTTGGCCAACTTTTGAGGTGATTCCTATTTTGAGAAGTTCAAGTTTGAACCTGTGTCATGCAGGACATGAGACATAGCCCCAGCCTTTTCCAAGTAAGAACTTATTCTAGGGCCCGCCTGTGGTTCACTTGGGAGAGTGTGGTGCTGACAACACCAAGTGAAGGGTTAAGATCCCCTTACTGGTCATCTTTAAAAAAAAAAAAAAGGAACTTATTTTACCTGTGTTTGTGGGGAACCTTCCACATGCCAGCACTGCGTTGGTTTCCCTGGGCCTTCAAAGATGAACCCTACTCTTGGGTTGCTCTCAGATTAGTGCGAGGCGGGATGTCAAATGATTATCAGCAAGCAGGCTCTGGAGCTGGACTACCTGCGTTCGGAGCCAGGCTCTACTATGTACTGCTATGTCACCGAGAGAAGGTTACCTAACTCCTGTTTGCTCATCCGTGAAATGATATTTTCCTCACAAAGTAGTTGAGAAGTTTATAATTAGAATGAACCCTCGTACATGGTAGGCATTCAATAAATAATTGTTTCTGTTGTAAGCAGGGGGTGGAGGGGACAGATAAACAGAAGTGACCTAAAGGATTGTGAGAGCACAGAGGAGGGAGTGTCTAACTGCCCGAAGCAAGATTGAGTTATTGAGGACATCACCAAAAGAGTTATTAAAACCTGGGGTTTTGGTCAGGGTGGGAAGGGGTCTGAGAATGGGCATCTTGAAAATGTTCCCCAGGTGATTCTGTTCTGCTATCCACCCCTCAACCACCAGAAAACCACTAACTACTCTTTAAATGTAACTTATTATTTAAAGAATACATTTCATAAAATTTGGAAAATAGAGAAAAGAATCACCTATAATCTAACATTCCAACACACCACACCCATCACTGCTATGTGGTGCCCCCCAAACTTTATTCCTCATGCATTTTGTTTTTAATAGTTTTAAACATAGTGCATGTGATAGTTCATATTTTGCATTTTTGCCTTACTGTGCTATCATAAGCATTTTTACTACATTGTCTTTCTAATGGATTTTGATTTTGATTTTAAACTTTTAAACTAGGGCCGGCCCGGTGGCGCACCGCTACAGTGCGGCGCTCCCGCCGAGGGTTCGGATCCCACATACAGACCGGCCGCTCACTGGCTGAGTGAGGTGCGGGTGCAACACCGAGGGTTGCAATCCCATCGCTGGTCCTGGTCCGGTACGAGCGCGACACTGAGGGTTGCGATCCATTGACGGTCACGAAAAAAGACAAAAAGGAAAAAAAAAAAAAACTTTTAAACTAAATAGAAATAGCCTTCTTTTAAGATATGAAATAAGGATTGGCCAGTTAGCTCAGTTGATTAGAGCAAAGCCTTATAACACCAAGGTCACGGGTTTAGATCCCCATACCAGCCAGCTGCAAAAAAATAAAATATGAAATAGTTCATGTTATTTTTGAAATATCCCAATCAGAATTAGAATAAAAAAGAAAGTTCAAATCTCATGTAATTCTGTTACTCATAGGTAATCACTTTGAGCATTTTTATGTGTTCTTCCAGATTTTTCTATGCAAATAAATACAGACTGTTCAAGTATTTTTTTTTTTCTAAAAGATGACCGGTAAGGGGATCTTAACCCTTGAGTTGGTGTTGTCAGCACCACGCTCAGCCAGTGAGTGAACCGGCCATCCCTATATGGGATCCGAACCCGTGGCCTTGGTGTTATCAGGCACCGCACTCTCCCGAGTGAGCCACAAGCCGGCCCCAGACTGTTCAAGTTTTAAAAGTTATATTAGGTTACTATATAACCTGCTTTTTTCATCATAGATATGTTTCCATGTCAATACGTATATTGCATTAGTCCGTTTGTGTTGCTGTAACAGAAATACCTGAGACTGGGTAATTTATAAAGAACAGAGGTTTAGGGCCGGCCCATGGCTCGCTTGGGAGAGTGTGGTGCTGATAACACCAAGGCCACGGGTTCAGATCCCATATCGGGATGGCCGGTTCGCTCACTTGGGAGAGCGTGTTGCTGACAACACCAAGTCAAGGGTTAAGATCCCCTTACTGGTCATCTTTAAAAAAAAAAAAAAAAAAGAACAGAGGTTTATTTGGCTTACGATTCTGGGACAGCTGCATCTGGCATGGGCCTCACGCTGCTTCTATTCATGGTGCAAAGTGGCAGGGAGCCAGCGGGTACAAGATCACATGGTGAGAAGAAGCAAGAGAGAGAGGGGGGAGATGCCGGAGCCTTTTAAACAACAGCAAGATCTTACTCAGGACCCTCACCCCCTAGGGAGAGCATTAATCCATTCATGAGGGATCCGCCCCCATGACTCAAACAGCTTCCAACACTGTCACATTAGGGATCAGATTTCCACATGAGTTTTGGGGGGACAACACATCCAAACTCTACCAAATAGGCATACATAATTGTTTCTAATGGCTGCACAGATTTAATGGACCATATCAAATTTATGTAACCATCTACTTCTGTATATTTGTTTCCTCTGTGTGTGTATTTCTCCATCATGTGAATCAACTTTACTTAAACATTTAGCTATTTTGGGATATTTAAGTAGTTTTTCCTTCATTTTTGCTATAATAAATAACAATGCATTGAAAATCTTCAGGCGTATGGCTTTTCCCATCTTTTGAATAATTTCCTGGAGTGGAAGTACTGGGTCAGGGGCAGGGACATTTTATAATTCTTGATTTGTATAACCAAGCTGCTTTCTCAAAGGATTGTTTGTGCCAATTTGGATACTTCCAGCAATGTGTTGGTACCAGTTTCCCACCTCTGACCCCACTACCCAAAGGTAGAGAAAGGAATATTTCCCCTAAGCTGGCAGCAAAGGAAGCACTCATATGGACTATAGAGGACAGGACAGAGAGAAGAGTGGAGAGAAGAGAAAGGGATGACCAGAAATGACCACTGTACCTGTAATTTTTTTCCAGTTGGAAAAGTAATTCATGCTCCTTGTAAAAGATCCAAACTTTTTCATAAATGTTTAAATTTCATATCAAAGTCCTCCTCTGCTAACAGTTGAGGTATATTCTTCCAGATTATTTCATACACAAATACTAATGTATAATTTGTTTTGTTTCTAAAGAAATAGCCTCATACTATACACACAGCTGTACAAATTCCCACTGGGGAATACAGCTTAGATACCTTTGGAATGAATATGTGAAGTGTGCAAATAATTTTTAGTTTAAATATTTAATTAGAATAGAATGAGAAGCAATATTCCCCATTTCCCTTGCCAGAGACTCATCCCAGACCTCGCTAGCAGTCTCCAGAAGCCAGTTAGGCGAGGGGAAGGCCTTCACCTGCCTGTTTCTCTTTTCCAGCAGAAACACCCCCAGGGGTCACTTCTTTGCTGCTCCTTAAAGAGTCAACCCCGGGCAGCATGTGGACCCTCCGCCGAGAGGCCAGGAGCCAAGGGAGGAGGCCGGTAGCTGCTCACAGCTCTCTGGGGGCCCCGATTGGGCCCTCCTTACCTGCTACTCCTGGAACCTCGGGGCCTAAAGATTAAACGTTGCTGCAAAATATCACGTCCGGGAAGAATTAATTTATCACCTCAAGGCAAGACTGGCCTGGCTTTCCTATCATTATGGCTTCTATCTGCAGGTGTGGCCACCATTGCCACAGCATGGGCCTTTCTAAGCTCCCTGCCGAGCTCTTCCCGGAGCCAACCTGGGCCAAGGAGATCCCACCTGGCTCAGGGCGTAATCCTCACGTGAGGCCTGCAAGCTCGGGGCACCTGGCCTGACTCAGCCCCGCAGCCGCTGCAAAACTCCTTTTCTACCCCGTGACTCAGTTTCTCCATTTGCTCACGCGGGCCAACGACGTGAGACACCTGAGCGGAATGCGGAGGGTGCCTCCACAGCTTCCCCGCAGTGCGTGCTCTCAGGCGGGGCCCAAGGACGCGAGTTCACGCCGCCCTGGGCGCTCCTTCTGGACCTGCCCAACAGTGGCCCCGCGACTGAGTCGGTGCTGCTCGGGGAGGCAGTGACTCGGCCGGGTGCACGGGCAGGACGGCTGGGACTACACCGCTGAAACACCGCTGTCGTTCCTGCGGGGCCCAGGCGACAGAGGGGCTACAGGGGAGACGCCCAGGGCCTGCGTCCGTGCCCGGTGCCCGCCGCCTGACGCAATCCGAGGAGCCCTTGCTGCATGCCGGCGTGGGGAAACCTCCCCTGCCGTTGCATCACTCCTACCACGTTTACTTCAGAGGTGGAGCCGAACCAATCAGCGGGCGCTCTGGGCCCCGGGCGGGCTGCTCACCCACCCACTCAGAGGGCGGCGCGGTTAACCGAGAAGAAAACTCAGGAGGTGATTGGCCAAAAGGGGATTTACTCCTCCCCAATCACCGCGGCAGACGGCGGCGGTGGGTGGGTCTCCCGGCCGGAGGATTTAAAGGGCGCTCCTTTGGGGCCGCTCAGCTGGAGCGACCAAGAGGTGCCAGGCCAGGTGTGCGCGTCCGTCGGTTCTTCCGTGCCCGCGCCGGAGACCAGCCCCGGAGGCCGCCCGGGCCCGTCCCTGCGCCCGGCACCATGAAGCAGGAGTCCGCAGCCCAGAACACCCCGCCCCCCTCGCCGCCCGCGCAGCCCTTGGGTGACGACGATGACCCCCAAGCGCTGTGGATTTTCGGGTACGGCTCCCTGGTGTGGAGGCCTGACTTCACCTACAGCGACAGCCGAGTGGGCTTCGTGCGCGGATACAGCCGCCGTTTCTGGCAGGGAGACACCTTCCATCGGGGCAGCGACAAAATGGTGAGCATCCCAGGATATGCGGGGGGTGGGGGCAGGATAGTGGGCAGCGGTGCCCTGGAATGTCCAGGGCTCTCTGGGCTGATGGAGGGAAATGTGTAAACCTGTATCTGGGGTTTGTGGCTTAAATTTGCGTGCTCAGGGGATCAGTGTGCAATGGCTGGAATCTGAGCAGTGAATCACTGTGATGCTTGGAGTCTGTGAATCTGTGGATTCTTGTGTTGATTACCAATCTGGGCCATTGCTGGCGGGTGGAGGGGCCCCTGCTGTGTATCTGTCTTGCTATTTCTCCTACATCCATGTGCCACTCTCCCACATCTCCTTGGATGAGTGGAACTCCAAGCGTGTAAAGTGGGGCTCCCTGAGGCCTGGGCCAGCAGGGTTGATGAGGATTTCCTTGCACTGATTGCAGAGCTGATTTCTAACTTGGCTTTAAAAAAAAAAAAAAAACTTTCTTCTCTCCCTAGCCTGGCCGTGTGGTGACCCTTCTTGAAGATCGTGAGGTAAGTGCCTGAGTTGAGAGGAGGACCCTGGGGCCCAATGTGGAGGGGTGCAGAGAGGTAGAGCTCATAGGACCATGTCTGCAGGCTAGATCTGATGCCTCTGGCAGAGAAGTGTGGCCTAGCTCAGTGCTTCACCCAAGGATCACCTGAGGATCTTGTTAAAATGCAGATTTTTAACTCAGTAGGATTACAGTCTGAGATGCAGCATTCCTAACAAACTTACAGGTGATGCCGCTGGTTCCTGGAGCACCTTTTGAGAAGGAATCCTGCCCTTCATGGGGCTAGACCTTTTCTTTCTTAAGAAAAGGGGGGGGGGGGGAGGGCTTGATGTATTACTGCTAGCTGGCTCATTAGTCCACTACACACCTCCCTTACAGAGCATAATCCTGGGATGGGGGGTAGCGTTCTAGGATGGGGAGGGACCAGCAAGGAGCTGTCATGACTGACCCCAGGTGTCTCTGTTTCCTCCTAGGGCTGCACTTGGGGTGTGGCATATCAGGTGCGAGGTGAGCAGGTGAGCGAGGCCTTGAAGTACCTGAATGTGCGGGAGGCAGTGCTTGGTGGCTATGATACCAAGGAGGTCACCTTTTATCCCCAAGACAACCCTGACCAACCTCTCAAGGCATTGGCCTACGTGGCCACCCCACAGAACCCTGGCTACCTGGGCCCTGCGCCTGAGGAGGCCATTGCTACACAGATCCTGGCCTGCCGAGGCTTCTCTGGCCACAACCTTGAGTACTTGTTGCGTCTGGCAGACTTCATGCAGCTCTGTGGGCCTCAGGCACAGGATGAGCACCTGGCAGCCATTGTGGATGCTGTAGGCACTATGCTGCCCTGCTTCTGCCCTACCAAGCAGGCTCTGGCACTGGTCTGAGGGGGCAGAGCCCCTGCAAGGAGTGCCCATGTGGACATCAGGGCCAGCCAACCATTCCAGTGCACACATCACTTGATACAGCTAGAGCCCACTGAGAGGTCACGGTGGGCAGCTGGGGGCTTCTCTTCCTAAGTCCCTGGCTGTCTGTCACCCTCCAGCTCTCCTGCTTGACGTTGACTTACTACTTGAAACTTTATTTATGGTACCATGTTGGTGTGGTGGGCAGGATGGGGGGCCTGCCCTGGACACAAGGGCCCTGCTGAGCAGTGGCCCCAACCCAGGCCCCTGGTGTCTGACTGGATTCCCCCCAGTGCTGCTGCTAACCCCATACCACCCAGGTCTCTACCTACCCAGGGAGCCTCCAAGAGCCTAGATCTCTGCCCATCCAGACCAACCATTCCCTACCCCTGGAAAAAACCACCTGCTCATCCACCAGGTCCACAGGGCAGAGTTGGATCTGATGCCTGGACACAACTACTGAGACTGGGCCTAGGCCTTTTACACATTTGGTTTCATTTTCCTGTCCCTCTGTCTGTCTGCTTCTCTGTCTGGGCCACTCCTGTCTGTTGGTCTATTCCGGGGAGTCTCATTACTACAGCCCCTGACACCTTTCCAGTCTGCCCCATACTGTTATCCATAAACTGATCTCTTATCTGTGCTGTGCTGGAATGTGATTCTTTCTTTAGCTGGGAGGTTGGGGTGAGTGAGGTGGTGAAACCTTGGAAGGCTCCTAAGAGGGAAGAGGGCTTCCTCTTCCTCTCCTTCCCTCTCTCCCAGGGAGGGAGCAGCGGAGCAGGCAGGACTGGCAGGTTGCATCACTCCATGGTCACAATTCATGTCTTAAGTGTCTGCAAATAATGCCCCCCTGAGTTGTGCAGAATTCAGCCCATGCAGCTCTTCTTGGTAGCCCTGTCAGCAGTGTCCTTGCCACCTACCTGGGACCCTGTGTCTCATCCTCATCTGCCCTGAGAGGCTGGCAGGCTTGGAACTTGGGCCAGCTCTTCTAGCTGCAGGGGTGGCTGCTATCTCTTCCTACAGCAAGGCCAGTCCCCTGGCTTCCTGCTAAAGGAGCATGTGGGTTAGGGTAGGGTGATGACAACTTCTGGGGCAATGTTGACAGCAGGGACGTGTGGCCTGGAAGACCTGGTGTCCTTTTCACTTCTGGGTTCCAAGTGTTCTCTGTTGCCTGTGGGGCTGTGGTGTTGGCTGTGCCGCCTCCATTACCCTGACCTGTCAGGACTCTTGCCCGTGCTGGAATGAGTTGCCAGGGTGCTCCATGCTGCTGGTTGTTCATCTCTCGATGATGCTCCTCCTGTCCTGGCCACTGGGGACAGAACATTGCTCTTGGATCTCAGCCTGGCCCTGGGCAGGGAGTGGCCCCTTAGTGCTGCTCAAACTCCTGGACCCGCAGAATGGGGGCAGGGCCAAGACGGCAGGATTTAGCAGCAGAAGAGCCTGAGTCCCACCCAGCCCCTTCCCTCAACTGGCTGCGTCACCTTAAGGAAAGAATTCAGCCCCTTTGAGCATCAGTTACCCTCTGGGAAGGGACGATACCATGGAATGGTGTATGGTGGCAGGCTGTGTGGGGCATGTTGCTGCCGCTCTTGTGGCTGGTGCCCTGGATTGGTCTGGGTGTCCCTGGCAGGGTCAACTCTGACGAAGTTGGGCAGCCGTTGTGTCACCTGGGGAGTATGCCCATGGCTGAGTTGTGTGCCCATGACTTGGCAGCCTCATGTCTTGTCCATTGATGGGAAAAGTGTGGAGTCCAGCCAGGTTCTTCCGGGAGCCTGGTCAGGGCAGCACAACAGGAGGAGGCAGCAGGTGGCAGGGAGCCCTGGGCCGCCACCTCCCGGGCCAGGGCAGGGCCAGACAGCCAGAGCAGAGCCCTGCTCCATAGTGGGAGTTGAGTGGGGGTAGGGAAGGCTGCTGGCTCACTGCACATGGGGGCTCGCATTCTTCAAGCCATTCATTCCACAAGTGTTTAGTAAGCTTCCACTGTGTGCCAGGTGCCGTTCTAGGCACTGGGGATAAAGCAGTAAAGAGATTCTGCTCCTCAAGAAACCTGGAGTCTAGACACTGATGGTGACCGTTTGGCATGAGATGTGCCCCAGCGGGAGGAGAATAGGGCCCAAGCACATAGCAGGGCAGTCAGGGAAGGCTTTTTAGGGGAGGAAACCTGAAAGCGGCCTCTGGGGAACAGAGGCAGGGAGCAGCGTGGGCCTGAGGGGAGGTGAGGTCAGACCAGCTGCAGCAGGGCGGCGTGGGGGAAGGGACAGGTGGCTGGATAGGTGGCAGGGCTGTATTCCACTGGCCAGCCTAGTGAGCTGTGCTGTGGAGGTAACATTCTTTCTGGGTCAGTGGAAGGCCTCCAGTGGATTTTGACCAGGGAAGAAATGTGCTTAAGAAGGGAGAACTGGCTACTGTTTCACATTGGAGGAGGTGGCACAGAGAGGCCAGGGAGAGGTGAAGGTGGCCTGAGCCGGGGCCTTGCAGTGGGAATGGATGAGGGATGCATTTGAGAGCAGTTTAGGGGTGGCATCAACAGAACGTGGTGGCTGGTTGCATGAGCAGAGGGAGTGGAAGGGTCAAGACATGAGGGCCAGGCTCCGCTCCTGGTGTAATGGCAGAGCTAGAAAGGGCAGGTGGAGATCTCCGGATTTAAGTTGGGGTGACCATGGGGGTGCGGGCAGCAGCATCCACATGGATGTTCAAGGTAGCTGGATGTATCGGTGTGAGAGGAGAGAAATCTGGGCTGGAGTTAGAGCCATACACAGAGATGGTGCTTGAAGCTCTGGGAGGAGAGAGAAAACAGAGTAGCCTAAGCCCTGAGGTCCCCAGCCCTAGTGGTCTCAGCAAAGCAGGGAGGGAGCCAAGAGCAAGCAGCTGGAGAGTAGGAGGCAAAGCAGCAGAAGTGCCCACAGAGCCAGGGCGGAAGGTGTTTCTAGGCAGTGCACAATGTTGACGTGCTGCTGAGATGTCAGGGAAGTGAGGAGAGAGCAGTGTTCGTTGCATGAAATGCTGGGGGCTCGGTGGCCTTGATGACAGCAATGTCAAGAACAGTGGCGTGAAGCCACAGGTCGGGGCTGAGGAGCTGGGGGTTGGGGGTAGTTCTCAGGAAATTCAGCTGCTAAGAGTAGAGAGAAGCAGAGGGGAAACTGAGGACATGGGAAGGTATGGGGCTGGGGGTGGTGTGGGGGGGTGTCTCTCAGGACCCGTTTACAAATGAAAACTTGTTGAGGGCCCCAAAAGCGTTTTTTTATGTGGGATGTAGTTATTGACACTTACTGTATTAGAAATTAAAATTGAGAAGTTTAAAACATTCATTAGTTAATTTTAAAATAAAAATAGGGCTGGCTGGTTAGTTCAGTTGGTTAGAGTGCAGCCTCATAACACAGGGTCAGGTCACTGGTTTGGATTCCCATATCAGCCAGCCACAAAAAATAAAAATAAATACAAACCTGTTACATGTTAACATTTTTGTCTTTTCAGTGTGTGTGTGTGTGGGGTGGTGGTGGGGGGTGGGTGGGGGTGTGAGTGTGTGTGCGTGCGCGCGCGTGCGTGTGGCTGGAAGGTAAGGGAATCCAAACCCTTGACCTTGGTGTTACAAGGCTGCACGCTAACCTGCTGAGCCAACCAGCCAGCCCATGTTAACAGTTTTAAAGAAAAATAATTGTATTTTCCAAAACAAATTTAATGAAAAGAGTGGCACTGTTTTATATTTTTAATGTCTGACTTCATAGAAGCCTCTGGATTCTTATCGGCTTCTGTATTTGATCTGTTGAAAATTCACATATGATATAGCCTCTGGAAAACTCCACTGTACGCTCATGAGGAAATGAGAGTAAAAAAGACAACCTCTTGGTATTATTATGAAAATAGTTTTAACTTCACAGATCCCCTCAGATCTGTGAAGCTTTTGGGGACCTCCAGGGGTCCCTGGGCCATTTGAGAACTTCTGGTGTAGGAGCATTAAAATAAAATTTGTTCTTTTTCTTTTTTAGTTGGGAGGGACTTGAGCAGGGTGATGGGTGGTGCCCAGCTTTGGGCTGGGCTGAAGCATTAAGGAATTTCAGAGTTAGCAGGGACCTCAGAAATCATCAGGGCCACCCCCCCGCACCCTCTTGGAGAATCGGGAATTATTCAGAAGGATCAGCTAGCTTGATCACCACTTACTGAGCCTATAACAGGCCACAGAGCCCTTGACCTTTAGCTGTGGGAGATGGATAAACACAGAGCCACCCTCATGCCTGGTCTGGGATAAGGGCAACTCCCGGAGCCAGGGGATGGGCCAAAGCTGGTCAGCTCTGAGCAGGGCCTTAGAGAAGCAGTAAGAGCCCAACAGGTAGAGGAAGGGCCTTCTAGCACACAAGGGAGGCACAGGCAGCCTGGCGCGTTGCTGAGTGGTGGAAGCTCTGGGGCGTTAGGGAGGAGGCTGAAAGCTGCTGTGGGTCAGTTTGTAGAGGAAGTGTTGGACATTCTCTTGTAGGGAAGTTGCCTTCTGTAGTGATGTTTTTGTCTTTTCATATGCTTTTCCTCTCACCAAAGGGTCTTCTGGTTGCTTTTGTTCTGTTTTGTCTTCCTTAAAGTTGACCGGAGCTGGCTGGTGTAACACCAAGGTCACAGGGTTCAGATCCCTGTACTGGCTAGTACCAAAATAAAACAAAAAATAAAGTGGATGGGTGTCGTGCTCAGCCTAGTTCAAGGAGGCTTGTGCTTGTAGTAGGGAAAGGTGGGTTGCAGGTGGCAAGACCTGGTGGGAGCTCTTCGTGATGTTCCAGGCAAGTGTTGGTGAGGGCGGAAGGAAAGCCAGGGGCTGGGAAGGTGGCAGAGATGCCTCTTGGCAGCCAGCTGGAAATGTGAGGCAAGCAGGAGGCAGGAGACTGGGGATCCCAGGATTTTGCCAAGATTGTGGGGGGCACTGGTCAGCAGGGGACACAGACAGTGCAGGAGGATGTAGCCAATACCAGAGTGGCCTCTGCACACTTTTCTAGGGCTGGGAACCTCAAGGGGTTTCTCTAGCTCCCACAAAACCCCCAAGGCCACAGGAAAGACCACATTCCTCTGAGGGCTGTTGTTCCCCTCAAGAGAGTGTCCATGCCCATGTAGGTCATTAGAGAGGCAGAGGGTGTGGGGAGGACCACGAATGGGGGAGGCCCCCTTTCTGCAGGCCTAGCTCTGAGTAGGGTCTGGGTGCTCCAGGGTGTGAGTCCTATTTTCAGTGCCCAAGGCCAGTTTAGGAGAGGCAGCGATCACAGAGAGCATCCCAGGGCGCCAGAGTGGAAGCACAAGACCCGGCCTCCCACCCATAGCTAGGGTGACACCATAGCCCAACGTGCTCAGGACAGTCCTACTTTATTGTCCTGCAGTAATTTTTTTTTTTAAAGATGACCGGTAAGGGGCCAGCCCATGGCTCACTCGGCAGAGTGCGGTGCTGATAACACCAAGGCCATGGGTTCGGATCCTATATAGGGATGGCCGGTTCGCTCACTGGCTGAGCGTGGTGCTGACAACACCAAGCTAAGGGTTAAGATCCCCTTATCGGTCATCCTTTAAAAAAAAAAAAAAAAGATGACCGGTAAGGGGCCAGCCCATGGCTCACTCGGCAGAGTGCGGTGCTGATAACACCAAGGCCATGGGTTCGGATCCTATATAGGGATGG